AATCAGTGACGCCAAACAGGAGACAGGGAGCCTGGCATCCACAAATGTCCAAGAAACAGGATGCAGTTCTTAACGTACAGACCACTCTGCAGACGGGACCCGCGGGCCGCCTTCCGAGGAGGGCAGAGGGTGGGGGCCCCTCGAAGTCCCTGCCAGTGGGTGGGCACATGGGATCAGGGCCGGGCCGGGCCACACATGGCCAGCCAGGTGCTGATTGGCTACAGGACTAGCTGGGACCGCAGGCAACACAGGAGTGAGGCTGAAAAGGAACGTCTCCTCTGGGCCTGGAAGAGCAACTACGAGATTCCGCGCCTGGAGGAGGGGCCCCGGAAGTTCCCTGGGCTCACTCTGCCCCGCTCCTGGGAGTGTCCCTCAGAAGCCGGGTGGGAGGGACAGCCTCCTTGCCAGCACTGCAGGCACCTGTGGGGACAAGCGGAAACAACCACCTGAGTGAGGCTCCCACTGTAGCTGGTTTCCACTCTAGAGGCCGCGTCTCAGCAACTCGTAATAGAAAACAGCCACGTCAAAACGACGGAGCTGGAGTCTTACTCTTCACTTGACACACACATCTCCAAGAATGATGCCCGCTGCTGGGAGGTTACAGGCAAAGCAGAACGTCCCAGTCCTGAAGGTCGTGTACGTTTAGGAACCTTTGGGGAGCAAGAGCCATCCAGGGCATGCTGGGAAAGGCTGCTGTCCTCTGACCTAACAGTCTCTTTAGGGTTCTTGGCTTAAAGGGCTATTTCAAAGCAAAAAGCCACGCAGCCTGGCAATTCCGCTGCTCGGGATGCCCAGGGACTCAAAGACGTCTTTGCCCACCGCAGCAGTGCTCAGACCAGCCGCAATTCTGAAACAACCCAATGCCCATCAAACGGCAGACAGAGAAACAAGACACAGTCTAGCCGTGCAGAGGAACAGTATTTGGCAATAAAGAGGAATGAAATTCAGAGACGTGCTACGACGTGGGTGAACCGTGAAGGCATCATGCCCAGTGAGGAAGCCACTCACAAAAGGACAACTCGGACATGACACCACTTACACGGGGAGCTGGGGCAGACAAATTCACGGAGACACAGGGTAGGCGGGGGCTGCCAGGGTCCGGGGGACGGGGCGTGAGCATTTAAGGGGCACAGGGTTGCAGTCTGGGAAGATGGAAGAGTTCTGGGTAGGAACGGTGGCGACAGCTGCACCACCACACGCATGTACTTGGTGCCACTGAACCGCACATTTAAAAACGGTTAAAATGACACATTTTATGTTATGCATATTTTACCACAGTTTCTCAAACGGGAAAAACAACAACAGAGGTTGGATGAGTCCTTTGATAGGAAATGTCTAGCCAGGCAAATATACAGAGACAGAAAGTGGTGGAGTGGCCGCCTGGGGCTGGGGCGCAGCGACGGCTAACGGGCACGGAACGAGCAGAGGCCCTGAAGCGGCGGACTGCGGCAGCGGCCACGCGACCCTGCCTGAGTGCCAGAAACCACTGAGCTGCACGCTTTGAATGGGCGAGTGGTGTAGCATGCGAACTGTATCTCAGAAAAGCTGTAAAAACAAGGCGGGGAGCTACACACAGGAACGTACATGCTCAATGCACTATTATTTAAAATCCTTAAAACTTCCCAAAGATGAGGTAAAAAAAGTGGTGGCTAAGTAAACGATGGCATATATACCAACTTAGATACCACAGAGCCATTATAAGCAATCATTATTAAAACCACACAGGAACTTTTTGCAATGGTGTAAAGAATATAAGACATAAAACTATTTTTAAAAAAGGATGCATATGCATAATGCCTGAAAGAGAAATGGAAAAGGCAAAAATAATCAGGATGTTGAAATACTTGGCTCAGAGGCAAATCTTCACTTTTCCTGGTCCTGCTATTTTGTAAGGAAGTGAGGCGGCGACGGTGCCGCAAACAGCTAAGAAATAAAACGGCAAACCCGCAACCAGAGCGACACTCAGCTGTTTAGTTCTTCCCGCAAGGCGAGCCTGGCCCAGGGTGAGTCTGTCCTGGACACGAGGGAAACTCGAGCTGACGACAAAGTCCGCTCTCCCGTGGGATGAAAGCCTCCGACCTGCCATCTCTCCAAGGGCATCTTCGTCCTGCCCAGGCCTCCCAGTGAGTGCCCCTTGTCCCAGAGCAGGTCACCCATGACTTGGGTGTTTCTGCCACCTGCAGGGCACCCAGGCCAGGGGGAGGACCAGAGGGAGGACCGACAGTCTGGGCCGGCGCGGGGGGTGCAGGCAGAAGGCACACGGGACCTGCGTTCCAAAGCCAAGCCTCGCAGGGTTCTGGACCGTCTGCGCAGCCACTGTGATCCGTCCACTGAAAACATCCAGGATACCAAGAGCGAGAACAAACAGGGAGCGTCCACGGACATGGAGCCGTGGTCTGGAACAGGAGGAAGGGGCCCAGCCTGGGTGTGCGTTCCCACTGGCACAGTGTCCGGAGCTTGCGGACTCCCCACACAAGTTATGTAGCTGACGGCTGCGTGACTTTCCGCAGAGCTGACCGGGACACCCTGAGAGAGGCCAAGCAAAGCCTGCACGCAGGATGATCCCCGTCCATCTGGGAGCCGGCATCTCCCCGCATCCTGGAGCGGTTACTGGAGGA